CAGGGTGAATGGGTCGTCTCCGATACTGCAAGTAACGAGTCTCACTTTCTGAGTGAAGGAACCGTTGAGAAAGAGGAGGAAATGGCGGCTCAGATTGAGATGGATTTGCAGCCTCAATTCGAGAAATTTCGAAACGGTATTTGCTCCGAGGATCAAGAGGGTCGTAAGGCAACTTGTTTCGACCTTTGATGAAGCGCATCAAGGAGACATCAAGTGAATCCGCAGATGGAAATTCCCAATTCCATTCCTCTGATAATGAATCGGAAGCAGATTCAGAGTCATACACACTCTCCGGCGGCGATGGCTCATGCGCAGGCGGTGACTCTTGCTCAGAATGTGACGATTCGGTCGGAGATGTTGCAGACGGCGGTGAATTAGACTCCGATGGAGAAGACGAAGACTCTGGCGGCGTGGTTGCAGATGGTGGCGATTTACTCCTCTCTGCCATCGGAACTCTAGTCTCAGAGGAAGACGAGTCGACTTCTTCGACTCCGGTACTGATTCTGCGCCGGTGAGATCGATGGATTTGGCGGAGACACTCGGCACGGCGGCATTACAACGATTTGTCTCTTCGGCGAGGGCTTTGAGCTGTCCTCGAGTTCGAGCTCGTTTCATAGGTGGCGGAGACAGATCGGGAGCACGGCGGCGCTTGACAGAGACGGATCCATGAGGCGGCGACGGCGGCACGAGGAGAGGACCAGCGACGGTGGAATGGCGAAGTTCCGGCAGGCCACGATATCGAGCGGACTCTTTGGTTCTCATGGTGAAGAAATTTTGAAGAGAAGGATGACCTAATTTCTCGTCGATCCCCTTTCTTAAACCTTCTWTTTTTTRTGAAATTAAACCAACACCACTAAACCGAACCATAAGGGCAAACCAGTTTTTTTTTTTAAAACCACAAAAATCCAATTGAAATCAACCCAAACATATTGAACCAACTTAATTCGACACACTCAGGCCATCAAATTTCGTTTAACTTAGAGATTTCAAGCAACATAGCAACTGAAGAGTACAACACCCAATTTCTGTTCAAAGCCCTTAGGAAAGGAGATAAAAAAAATTACCTCAGACATTTATGAGCTTCCCCTTCCCTTCTGTGTGTGCTGGAACTTGATCC